TGGGAGCTTGTAGACAACAATGACTGGGATATTGATACGGAACGGGCCAAATATGAACATCACAATGATGATGATCACTGACCAGGCCCGTACGGACGTGGGGAGGGCCCAAAGGGACCCCGTGTCTGTCCAGTTATGAAGCAGGAAGGTGGTGGCTAGGAATAGGAAGGGACACAGCTAAACACTGTCAGTGCTGCATCCAATGTGCCCAAACAGAACCTGGAAAACCCTGTAAAATAAAAGTGGGAAATAGTACAGATGGACTTTAAAGGACCATTACCTCAGAGCCAGGGGAAACTATACTGCCTGGTAATAATCGACCAATTCACAAGATGGGTAGAAGCCTACCCCACCCGGGACTGTACAGCCAAGACTGTGGCCCGCCTTTTAGCCACTGAAATAATATCCCGATGAGGCGTCCCTCACCAATTAGACTCAGACCAGGGACCACATTTTACCGGGAAATGTATAAAAGAAGCTTGTAAAATGTTGGCAATCGCTCAGAGATGCCACATACCCTACCATCCCCAGAGCTCAGGATTAGTCGAAAGAACCAACAGAACCCTGAAGCAAGCCCTTACTAAGACCTGTGAGGGCAAGGGTAATAGATGGACAACGGTATTACCCACAATTCTGGTGTCTATGAGGACATCTGCACACCCGGTGACCGGACTTACCCCCTTTGAATTAATGACAGGACAGGCTATGAAACTGCCCCAAGATCTGATCGCGGGAGAAGCAGAGCTAATGAATACTAAAAAAAATCTGTGGAATTACATGAGAGAGTTATGTGAAACCTAGACAATGCAATAGAGCAAGCTCACATCCGACAGCAAGTACATGACCGGGAACAAGACTTCCAGGACATGGCAACACCTCCCATTAAAAACCAGGAGACCGGGTCCTGGTAAAGATCATCCCTGCCAAATGAGCATTAACCCCTAAATGGTCAGGACCACATGAGATAATTATAACAGAGAGTATTGGGATCCTTGCAAATGAAGCCGACATAGGGAAGTGGCGCCACCCCTCACAACTGAAAATGCATCATGGAAGCTAAATTATAACCAATGTATACTAACCACTGCTTGGGACAAGGCCTTGTATTCCCCCATATTGGATTTATATATTGCAGATGCTTGAGCACCCTCCTATGGATCGCCGTCGCCTCCGCCATTGTTGAGCTCCAACGTCATGGCGAGTATCAACAAGCTGAGCCTTGTACTGATAATAAAACCACCTGATAGAATACAGCCTCTGAACTCTACTACCCGGTGGCCCAAGATGACTGTAGTAACGGTATCTTATGGTTGCAGCCTACTGAAATTCTGGACTTAACTTGTGTCTCTGGACGACCATCACTCAGGTGTTCAGACGGGACAACTCTTATTATGAAGTGTTGATCCATGATTCTTTTCCAGCTAGGAGAGGGGGAACAGCTTTGTGCGTTTATTATTTTGAGGATGGATCAGAACCAGACATGTGCTCCTGCTTTATGCTGAGGGCCCAACAGCAGAAAGAACTTGGACTTATTGTACGAATTTATATAGACCTGACCTTGGGACTCGACAATGCTGTTATATGGAAAAATAAGACATTGGGCCAAGAGAAACCCATATGGTTTAGTACTGACAGTAACAATTGTAGCCTTACGTGCTGGCAGTGCCAGAGCCAGCAACCCCTTATACATAGACGAACCCCAGAGAACTCTGGACGTAGTTACAAGGCACATGCCTTCTACCCCTTAGGGAATGGGACGTGACCCACTACACCAAGACCACCTACCACACCAACAGAACTCCACACATGTAGCGAAACCCAGACACCACTCAACACGTCAATCTTGTTACACCCCTGGGGAGTACTGTTACAAACTCCCACATGGAAAAATGTTAAACTTATCATTCAGCCCTTCCCACAGCTGCCCGACACCTGCCCTAAATCCATGTCAGAAGCCTTTAAGCTCCGCTTCACCGAGGCTGCCGTTGGATCACCCCAGCTACGGTTGAGAAACATTCACCAATTTGTCGGGAGCCATCGGCACAAGCGAGACATCCTCACAAAAGCAGGGGCTGGGGCTGCATTTGGCATGGCAGCCGCAAATGCTGCATGTAAAGACACTCTCCAGTAAGAAATCGACACTCTCAGAGCCAATCTAAAGTCTTTGCTGCTCCGAGATGGAAATAACAACTTACAGACCACTAAATGGACTAAACAAGCTAATGGCCTATTTTTGAAGACCCTCCAGATTGAAATGAGAACAGAACAAACATTGAGTAAATGGAGAGGCATCCTACAAAACCAAACCGAAGAGGCCAAGCATGCACCTATCTGCGCACTAACAGCAGCCAACTCCCTGACCACCTGGAAGATTGGATTAGAAGCCTTAACCAAGAGTCAGTTACCTGAATGGATAACCAATGACGACCTCCGAAACATGAGTATTGATGTCTACCCCTACACTCAGGATCTCATTGAAGTATACACCCATGCAGACCCAGAAGATAGGGCTACTCTGGTTCTCTCAATATGGGCCCCAGTGTACAATAATGTCTCTCATCCAGTCTATCAGACACAGGATGACGGACTCTACCATGGTGGCACAATTCACAAACTAGCCTAGGAACCCAAATATGTCACAAAGGTAGATGGGATGATCTACGTGGTTAACCTGAACTGGTGCACTAAACTAAAACATCTCCTTCTGTGTTATCCTATGGGAATCAACAGATGGAAAATGTGCGGAATACACCACTGGGACCTCTCATGCCTATGGTTCCGACGGATGAAGACACCAGATACAAACGAGTTGGAAACCAGACCTATGTGATGTCCATCAACATGACATACCACATAGGTAGCCGTGAATGCTCACTGCAAAATCACTCAGTGATCTTCACCAACCTGACTCAAGAAATACGGGTCGAGAATCACACTATCATTAGACCGCTAAGGCAGGACGGAATATCCTTTGTGGGAAGTTTGAACCTTACTTGGCCTTCCGACATACTACAGTTACTGGACAATATGCCGCCCGAACTACCCCAAAGCCATGAAAACTGGCAACAACTAACGCAGGTCGAACAACACATCATGGAAGAGTTCCACAAGCAGCAAAAGAAAGATGAACACGACACCGACGAAACAAGCAAGGTCCTTAGGCAGACCAATATATTTACCTGCATCTGGAACTGGTGGATGAATGTCCAGATCCACCCTTGGATCCGGATTGCCTCACATATGGTGGTCGTTGCACAGTGCCTCATACTCTTCATCTTATTGATCTATACTTGTTGCCTTGGAAAAATCCTACGTAAGCAAAGAAAATGTGAAGAAATGGAACCCCTCTTGAAACGAGTCAAATACCAAAGACCATAAGGGCACACTGCAAGAGCACCCCAGATGATATGATACCATAAGTGTTCCGTCGCACATGTGGCCACGGGCCAAAATGGGGGACTGAAGGAACCCTTCGCCACCACCCAGCCACAAACCCGTATGACACTACACACAAACACGTAGTCAGATTACCCTAGAGAAAGGATGGAAGATGACGACGCCACCCCAGTAATTAAAACTTAAAGACTGCCCCGTTCTGACTCAGAACCCAGGACTTGACGGTTAGTAACCACAGGATAGGGAATTGTGGAATATTTGTATGTTGAGACTGTCTCATTTAGGCTAAGCAGAAATGAGTTAAAATAATACATGATTCGGATCATGAAGTAGGGAAACTCTAGCTTTATGAAACAGTACATATTGCTGTAACTGCAAACTACCTTTCCCTAGCCCGAGAAGTCACGTAGGACAGATAGCAAAAAGCTAGGGGTTTCAGCATCTGTACACTCTTATCTTCACCGCATTCCACTTCAATTAATGTATGTCTGGTTGCCTAAGAAATGACTTTGCCCTGCTAAAACACAGTACAATTGCAGTTTGTTTTTAACTTGTTTAATCAGAGCCTCCCTGGCCGTCCTGTCAGACTGTGTCTTGGAGATCTCCCTGCTGTAATTGCTTGCTAGCTTGAATAAAGAAGTGCTACTGCTGAAGCAAGACTGTCTTCCTCAAGGTGTGTCTTTAGAGTTCGAAAAGACTCCCTACAATGGCACCTGCCTTATTTTGTCAACTTGGAATCTGCAGGTTGAAACATATACTGGCTGCATTTTAACTGAGGTGAGAGTTTAAACTAGCGTAAACAAATTTCCCAGCATGGGCAATCATAGACTCCCTACGGTGTGGAAGTTGGCCATCGAGTCCACACCGACCCTCCGAAGAGCGTCCCACCCAGATCCACCCTCTACCCCAGCCCAACATTTCCCATGACTAATCCACCGAGCCTGCACATCTTTCAACTGTGGGAGTAAAACCAACGCAGACACGTGGAGAACATGCAAACAGTTTTCTGAGAGTGGAATTGAACCCGGGTTCCTGGTGCTGTGAGACAGCAGTGCTGGTCGCTAAATAACTGCCCCTCGCTGTGATTGGAGCATTTACACAGAATAGAAACCATTTGTGCTGCTGGTCACTGACCACAATTCATTCACGGGAAGTGAGTTACTGTGTGCGGCATTTCTAGCCTGTGACCTGTTCTTATAGCCATTGTGTATATGTGGTGAGCCCTGTTCGGTTTCTAGCCAATGGTAAGACCCAGGATATTTTATTTTCCTTTCTTCATTCATTCACGGGCATTGCTGGCTGGGCAGAATTTGTTGCCCATCCCTAATTGCCCAGAGAGCAGTTAAGAGTCAACCAAGTTGGACTCACGTATAGGCCAGAGCAGGTAAGGATGGGTTTTTCCTGACAATCGAAAATGAATTCATGTTCATCATTAGATTCTTAATTCCAGACATTTATTGAATTCAAATTCCACCATCTGCTGATTCGGACCGAGGTACCCCCAAACATTACCTGGATCTCCAGATTAACAGTCCAGTTATAATACCACTAGGCCCTCGCCTCCCTGATGAAATTTGAAAGATTAATTGATTTTTGTTCTGCAGGTGAGATAGCTGTTGTTTTGAGACCGGGAGACAAATACATCCACCTGGACATGGCGAACAGCTCTGCTGCTTATATCTTTACCCAGACCAGAGAGGCTGACCAGGCAGCAATTAGTTACATAAGAGAGGAGTGGAAGAGGATGCCGCGAATCCTGAAAGCCTGGGACAAGGCAAACAGCACCTTGGAGCGCAACTGTGTAATTCCACGGGGATTACGAAGGGAGCATCTGGTGGCAATTCGCGCTTACACCCATCCATCTGCTTTGTTCAAAGCTTTCAATGCGGCAACCAGGCAGTACGGAGTGAGCGATGACATTTACGAGCAGAATTTCACTTTCAAAAGTTTCCACTACCTCCTCTCCGTCGCCCTGGATAAGTTAAAAGGAAAGAGATTCCAGACCTATCGGGGAAGTGAGAATGCATTCTGGGCCAGGAAAGGGAAAAGTGTGCGGTTCGGACAATTTGCTTCATCATCCTTGGACTTGATGGTAGCCAAACGATTCATGAAGAACGTTCGAGGTGAAAACACGTTGTTTGAGATCAAAACCAAATTGGGAGTAAATGTCAGCCAATACTCGACCATAAAGGATGAGGACGAGGTCATCATCCCTCCAACAGAGGTGTTTAATGTCAAGTACAAACCATGTACACAAAAGCACGGGAATAAAAAATGGGTGAAGATTGGGCTGCAGGCTGTGGGATGTCAGGGCATTGTGGTGACGGTGGAAAAAACCAGGAAAGGTTCGTTGAGAGTGAGAAGAGGACGTGGAAAATGCCCCTCTTATTGCAAGTGCTCTCTGGGCTGAGAGCAACTTGAGCCTGAAATCAAGAAACTCACATTGCTGACTCACACTGACAATAGTCGCTTACGATTAACAATTCACGCTGGACAAAATATTCCTGCTTGCTTTGTAACTGCTAACAAATGCTGTATCATTGATAATTCATCATGATAATTGTTCATTTTTATTCATTCACAGGTTATGGGCATTCATTGTTCATAATCATTCATTGTTCTGAATCAACCACACTGCTGTGGGTTTGTAGTCACATGTAGGCCAGATCAGGTAAGGATTGCAGTTTTCTTCCCAAAAAGACGTTAGTGAACAAGATGGAGATTCCCAGACAATCGACAATTGTTTCTTGGCCATCGTCAGTCTTTTGCTTAAAACATTTTTTAATCAACCTGCTCAGAGATTTTATTACACACCACTGGAAATTGTGGGACAGGAACCCAGACTTCCTGGCTCAGAGGGTGGGACACTACTACAGTACCCCAAAAGGCCTATTATTAGAGTCTCTTTTCCTTTTTATTTCTTATTCCATGTTTGCTCTACGGTAAGATGAAAATGAAGGTGCCTTTGTGAATAATGTTTATTAGTATATTTTTTCCACTGTCAATAAAATATCCATGTGGCTACTTCAATATTTGTAAGCTAAGCATGTTAAGGCCATTGTTAGGTTTTTTAGTTCCAAATTTTTATTGAATTCACATTCCACCATCTGCTGTGGTCAGATTCCAACACAGGTCTCCCAAGCATGACCCATATCCCTGGATTAATAGTCGAACAATAATACCACAAGACCAGTGCCTATCCTGTACTAATCTATCGATCAGCTGTGTTTAATAATCAGCTAGCTAAACTCCCCTGTGCCAATGTTGCTGTGTTGTGGCAGTGTTCCTACCTCTGGCAAACGTAAGCTAGGTTCCAATTCTGCCCAATTCCGGAGGTGCATCATGAAATCCCTGAACTGGTTGGTTACAAGAGCGTAAGCAGGAGGGTGTTCAGCCATTCAATCCTATCCTGCCATTAAACACCATCATGGCCGATCTTATCTTTGCCTCAACTCCACTTTGCATCACCCTTTAAACCATTTCCAATTCGACAATCTCCGTAATAAGAACAGGACAATATCAAAATGGCCGCATGGTTCTTGTGTTCAAGGCCTCAGTTCTCTTTCTGCCATCCCTAGCTGCCTCTGTACGTCAGTTGCATTTTATTCTAAGGAGTTTGTGAGCCTTCCCTTCGTTAAGAGCTAGCTGATGATGAATAATTTATTTTTTTTAAAGACCAAGGCAAATAGATTCCTCTTGACCCAGCGGATAAATGAGTAATGGGGAGATATGAAGGAATACAGAGTTGAGGTTAAAATTGGAAGAGTAATGATATTATTGATTGGCCTACTCTTGTTCATTGTCCCTGAGTGTGTCACCACCTGACCCTATCTATCCTGGCATCTGGTATTCCTATCCCAACGTTTCCCTGTATATGTGAACACTTATCGCAGTATATTTCTCTGTAAGTATTGTGTGCTGTGACAATAATAGCCTGTCCTTGTCCTATGCATTTCCTAAACTGCTCTTGTTTCAGTCATCATCGCTCCCTCGCTGTTTGACCCCCTACGTCATTTTTTGAATCTATCTATCCCCTTTAAGCACTGGTGGCTTTCATGCACATCATTAATCATATGCGTACCTATGACTCTAGATATCCCAGTCAGTAGAACCTCAGAATTTGAATCAGGTCCAGGGTTCAAGCCTTTGTTTGGGCAGAGCTTTGTGGACAGGTGATGGCCTAGGCCTATTATTCTAGAGATCTGGGTTCAAATTTCTCCATCGTTAACTGCAGAAATGCAGCCCATTGAATTGACACTATACTGCCTGAAGAACAACTCATCCCATTAGCCTTGTATTTACCATGGTTAATCCATCTCCGTTGGTATGAAGGGACAATTTAGCAAGGCCAATGCGCCTAAACCACACGTTTTTTGACTGTAGGAGAAAGCCCACACAGACACGGGGAGAACGCGTAAACTCGATAGAGACAGTAACATGAAGGTGGAATCGAACCCGAGTCCCTGGCATTGTAAGGCAACAGTGCTAACCACTGAACCATATCAGATGGTCAAACCTAAACTCAATAAAAATTTGGTAATCAATGTTGAACGATGAAGCCATTGTTGATAGCTCGGGAAATAAACCTACCTGGTTTACCAATGCTCTTTATGAAAGAAAACCTGCCACTTTTACTTTGTATAGCCTACATGTGACTCTAAGTTAGTTGACTTTGAATTGCCTACTGGACATCAAAGGCAGCAATAAATGTTGGCCAATCCAGCGATGTCCATATCTTGTAGAAGAACATTTTTAAGAAATCCATCTTCTCACGATCAGGCAAGAGAAGTGAGAATGAGTAAAGTTCTACAGAATGGGATATGGAGAGATATAAAAAGGAGAGCACGAGACAGAGGTAGAAAAGACAGAGACAGCCAAACAGAGATGGAATAAATGCTAAATGCTGTGAATGCTAGAAATCCATAACAAATACACAAATGCAGGAGAAACTCAACAGGGTCTTGCAACATCCGTGGAGAAAGAGAGAAAGAGTTAACAGTTTTGCTCCAGGATGAATCTTCCTCCAAGTTATAAGATGAAAGAGACAGAAGCACAGGAAGCAAGACAGTGAAAGAATGAAAGCGACAGAGAATGAGAGAAAGGAATAGATGCGCAGGCAGAGGGAGACGGAGGGGAGAGGGAATCAGTGAGAAGGAGAGATACAAAGCACAACAAATTGACAGGTAGAGACTGGGACAGAAAACGGGAGAGGCTGTGTAAGAGAGAGGAAGAAAGAGATGGAGAGAGAGAAGGAAAGCGACAGAGTTGCACAAAAAATCTCAACAGAAACACAGAGCGGGGGAATAACAGAGAGAGAGAGTGCACGGTTAAGAGAGAGGTACAGATGTACAATACAGCGAGCAGCGGGAAGGACAGAATGAAGAATATGCAACATTGAATGTTATCATGTCATCAATCCACAGTTAGAACTTGATCAAACAACATCAGGAATGCACTTTCAGTCTTCAAACTTTGAGGTAGATTGCTATATTTGGAAATGACAGTGATAAAATTATGTATTTTAGAAGAAAAGTTAAGCAATAATTTCATCATTCTGACCTTTATGTTTGTTTGATTTGGGAGTGATGACTAGAATTTGCATAAGTAGTTGAGATGCACAACTAATTCCTTCTTATCAGTGCATCTTTTATAGGATCATGTACTACAGTGGTTTTGAGCAGGAACTCATAACGCAGGGCCAATAGTTATCTCTAGGTCTGGCTCGTTGGAGCATTCCTTGGGCAAAGGAACCAATTTTCCGAATTTATTCTGAATGCATTGTCGCAAAAGTAGATTTGACAAATTATATTCCAGTTTTCCAGCTTGTGAGAAATAAACTTTAAATTGATTTAATGTCGGCTTTGCAGTGCTTCGATCTTTATGATTCAAATGGGTTCCTGTCATAGATTTTGATAAAATACAACCATGTATAAGTATGCGGACATTCATCACAGCTTAAGCAAGTATACTGGGTGCAAAGGTCACATTATTTCTCGTGGCCTGGAGGAAACGGTTTATCACATTTATGTTGAGCGCTTTTGTTTAAGTCTTTAGAGTTTGGAAGGAGCTGTTCATCAAGTTTTGGTTGAAATTCAGACTTCAGCTCCTGGGGAGGGACAGGCAACTCAGAGGGTCTTCTCGTAGTCTACTGTTAGGCTGAAAGTACCTAACGTGTTATTTTAGGTCTGATCAAATGATCAATTACAAGAAAACAAGTGCTCTTTGATAGGAAGCAAATTTATTAGCTTAAAATACTTAGTAGTTATTAGGGATTTACACATACTAAGGAGTCAATCTATTAGTTTAACCTACATAGTATAACTTATTTTAGATATGTTCAAACTAATGAGTGAATCTATAAGCTTAAACTACTTTAGACGTTTCTGTGATAGGATTCAAAGGCAGAACATTTCCTGGGACTCTGGATTAATAACCTTGTGATCATATTACTAGGCCATTGCTATCTTCAATGTGCAATCTGACGTTCCTTTCCCTTAATATTGCATGATAGTTAAGGTCTTGAGGCCTAATGCAGGACGTCAGGACAAAGCTGTTTCTGTTCACATGGCAATGTTCATGTTTGATCATTTATTGGGTGGAGGAGGATTTGGGAAGACAGACCAACGAGAAGGAGTCTGACTATTCAAAATCAGCAACAAAATACACAGTGAACTTTTATTTCATTTATGTGTGGGGCATGGGTGTACCTGGCCGAGCCAGCATTTATTGTCCATTTCTAGATAACCTTGAGAAAGTGGTGGAGAGCTGACTTCTTGAACTGCTGCAGTTGCAATGCTGTTGGTACAGGCACAATGTCATGAGGAAGAGAATACCAGGATTTTGTTCCAGCGACAGTGAGGGAATGGTGGTAGATTTCAAAATCAATACGTTGAGATGCTTAGATGGGAACTAACTGATGGCAATTCTCCCATATGTCTGCTTCACGTGTCCTTCTCAATGAAAGAACATCTCGGAGTGGATCACTATCTACAGCGGTAAAATCACTTTGACTGCATTTTCTCCCTTTTTAAAACTGGTAGATGTTGCTCACAAGCTGTATACCTGTCATGAAATGAATATTGTAAATTTTAACACAGTTACAGCTGTATTGAGACACTTAAGAATGAAATTGCTGCAAGGTGTCAGATCACATTTTATCATGATCTCTGCTCTTCCCAAGTGGAAAATATTCATAATCTGTGGTTATAAATGTTATACATCAATTATAATGTTGGGATGGCGTGGGAGAGAAACAAGGCAATTTACACTCCTCCAGAAGATCAGTGTTGGGTGGGAGAGCGAAAAGAGACAATTATAAACTTCCAGAAGATCAGTGAGTGGTGGCAGAGAGAAAAAAAAAGACCAAATGCAATTCTCCAGAAGATCAGTGAGATGTGGGGAGAGAGAAGTGAGAACTTACAAACCCTCCAGAAAATCTTGAGTTATATGATTGCGCTCAATACACAGGTTCAGATAAAAACAGACTTGTAAAGGCTTGCATGTCTTGTTTGTTTTTGTGATAACTTTTATTGTTTGCAACGCTATACATTGCACGCCATTGCTTTACATTTCCTTGTCCTTTGTTTCACCATTATATAACTTTGTCTTCCTTACAGAGTTACTCAGAAATGTGTTCTGTCTCTCACATAGCACAATCAGATTGAGGAGAAAACACTCCGATTGCGATGGTAACAGCCTGAATTTGAAGTGGACATGTGGAACTGGATGGTAGAAGGAGCATAATATGTTTGACACAATAGAAACACCCGTTTTCATGCAAGTTCTGACTTTTCCCCTCTTGTGTTTAAACTGATGCAACGATACCATCTGCTGTCCAGCCCACGCCACTGTGCAAGCACCAGACTTTTTTGTGTGGGATCCGTTCTCTCCCTCTAATGGCCAAACCTGACCTCATGATCTGGATGTGCCAACGTTGGACTGGGGTGGACAACATCAGTAGTCATACGACACCAAGTTATAGCCCAGCAGGTCTATTTGTAATCACAAGTTTTCAGAACGTAGCCTTTTCGTCAAGTGAAATGAGAGAACAGCACACAGAGCACATAATTTATGGGCAGAGAGATCAAGTGCAGAGAGTCAAAAGATAATACCAATGGTGTGAATGGACTGTCGATCAATACGGCTCTGCAGGTGATCAAAAGTGTTAATAGGTGTAAGTGTAAACAGCTGGACAACAAACAAAGGAATGATTTATAATCCAATTAATTGCGACAGAGTTAATTATAAAAAAAAACTAAAATATGGTGGTGCTGGAGACAAACCAAATGACTGTAATAACTGTAATGACAGGTAAAAGAATCGCATGCCGAAGGTTTAACCAAAGTAATAAGTAACACACAACTGTACAAAATAATTAGGTAGAGCGATCATAACAAATTTATCAAGGCGATGGTGTCAAAACAGGACGAAGAAAGACGTCAGTCACCGCCCTGCCTCTTCTGTATCGATCAGACCTTCAGTCAGTCACCGCTCCACTCCCTCTCTATTGGACAGACCCGCAGTCAATCACTGCCCCGCCACTTGCCGTTGGCCCGATCTGCAGTTGTCATCGCCCAGCTCCCTCTCCATTGGTCAGACATGCGGTCAGTGAACCCCGCAATTCGTCGCTATTCGTAAGAGTTACTGTCATCCAGGGACGCAGTCCCTCTCTATTGGTCAAATCTTCAGTCAATCACCCAGCACGCCCCTCCCCACCCACGTTGGTCAGACCTGCATAAGTCACCACTCTCCTTCCTCTTTATTGGTCACGAGTACAGTCAGTCATCATCTTGTGTCCTCGTTATTGGTCATACCTGCAGTCAGACACCGCCTCTCTCTCTCCTACATATAATATATATATTTCTTGGTTAGATCTGCAATCTGTCAGCACACTGCTCCAATATCCATCAGTTTCACTCTTCTCTGGTCGATGCATGACATGAGTTCCTTCAATTATACCATTCAAGGATTCGATTATACAAATTCTGAAATTATATTTGAGGAACTCAGATACATGCTGATGTGCTTGAGTTGCTGAAGAAACGGCTCACTTCAAGTTCAGACAGAAAATCAAGAATGCACTGAAAACTCCAGTGGCATAATTTATACAATGAAGTAATGCAATGCACATCTGTGGGTGACCCGACTGTGCTACAGTGTTTAGAGAATGTGTATTTCAAATTCATACTTGACCACAATATGAGGAGCAGTCCACCAATGGCGAAGTTGTAATGATAGTTGCATCAGATATTACTGTGCTGGGATGCAAATGGGGGAACAACGTGCCTGTATTGTTGACGACAGCTTCACAGCGTTAATTACAGATGTCATCATCCAATTGTCAGAGTCACTTTGAAATTTATCATTAAAATCCTCTGAGACTGTCAAAAGCTTCCTTTTCCTGTTTAATTTTACCATGAATTTTCAAAATAACCATGAGTGTCAGGATGTGGCAATGCCATTATTATTTCTGGAGGGGCCATGTCTGATGGTGCCCCGAGGATCACATTTTATAGGGCAGATAACACTAATTTACGTTTTAGTAGCCCTTTCCAGTCCACCTCCCCCAAGTCCCTTCTCATTTTTCTGAAACTTTTCTTCCCCCAATGATAAACTTGTACGCCTCATTTATCTCTGTTACACTTAATCTGAGCAAATTGCTATCACAAACCACGATATGGTTACTCACTGACAATTTACCCACTAATTTTTATTCATTCGTGAGACTTGGGCTTTGCTGGACGGCCAGCATCTATTGCAGGTCTGTAGTTGCCCTTGAGAATGTAGAGATGATCTACCTTTTTCAACGCTGCAGTCCATGCACTGGAGGAAGACCAACTTTGCCCTTAGATCGGCAATTCCAGAATTTTGACCCAGAGACAGTGAAGGACGGGCAGGTTATTGAAAGTCTTCGAGGGTTGCCAGCAGGTGACGCGGATTCCTCGTATCTGTTGCTCTAGTCCTTCCAGATGAAGGCTATTGATGGCTTGGAAGGTTTATTTTGAGGATTTTGGCTTATTTCTGCATGGCATCTTGCTTCACATGAGTATTGGTGGCGTAGGCAGTGGGTGTTTTGTGTGGTGCCAATCAAGCAGGCTGCTTTGTCTCGGATTCCATTAAGCTTCTTGACGTTGTTGCAGATGGCCCCATCAACCAAGTGGAGGTCATTCTATCACACCCCTGAATTTGGCCTTGTAAACGATGGACAAACCCGGAAGAGTCACAAGGTGACTTACTGGTCGCAGTATTCCTCGCCTCTGAACTGCTCAGTGTGTTTAGGTGGCAGGTCCAGTTGAGCTTCAGTTCAATGATAGGCCCAAGATGTTGGTCATTGGGCATTTACTGATGGTAATACCATTGCATGTAAAGGAGTGTTTGGTGGATTGCAATTTGTTGGAGATTTCATTGGTTGGCATTTGTGTGAAAGCAAAAGATGTGTATCAGAATGTTGCCCGAAGTGGTGTGCTTTATCTGTAAGAAGTGGTTAAACAAATTTGGATTGTTTTCACCAGAGTATTGGGGACAGAGGCGCGACCTGTTAGAAGTGTACACAAAAATGAGGGGCAGGGATAGGGTCGATAGTAGTAGTCTTTTTCATAGGATGGATTTAGAAACTATTGGTGGGCATAGGTTTAAGATGAAAGGAGGAAATTTTCAAGAAGTTGTGCAAGGCAGCTATTTACACACAGGGTGAGAGATGCCTGGACTGCCAGGGGAGCTGGTAGGAGCAGGTATGACAGCAACGTTTAAGTAGAATTTCGACAGACACATGCACAGGTAAGGAACAGGAGGAGACAGAATGCATAAGTTTCTAATGGCACCATGGTCTGACAGTGATGGTGGGTAGAGTTACT